TACGTGCTAGTCGGGTAGTGTCTTGCCGCCTAGAGCTTACCCTCCTAGGTGTGCGTGTCTGGACTCTAGATATTCCACTTGATTTTTTATTGTTTTATTTTTATTTCTTATGAGTTTTAATAGTATTTATTAATGATTTTATACTATTTTGACAATAACTTATCTATTAAATGTTATGTTTTCAACGCGTTTTATAATGGGTACCTAGCTAGTTCAAATGTATTAAAGCACGATCGATTAAATAGTTCACAAGCAATCGTATATGCTTAGACCATTTTTTTCAAAAAAACAATTTAAATACGTAGTAGTTAATTGAAGTCCAAGCCCTAACTGAAAATTTGTTAAGGCCCAAACGGAACCTTGAAGACCCGACATGAAGCCGTTCAGTGAACCATTTAAACTGAAAGTGTTTAGACTAAATCTCAGTTTGACTTCCAAAAATGTTTTTGCATAAAAGTGTTTTCTAATAAGAAATGCATACACATTTTTAACTTGCTTAGAAATGTAGCTAGTGTACTGTAATATCTTTACGGAAAAATGTTTCAATCCTAGCTAGACTAATTTCCTGTTGGAAATCAGGAAATCAAGCAATAAGTCTATTATTTGTTATTTGTAAAACAATCAATGCTAAAGAACTCTATCAAGTCTGATTACTCCAGGCCCCCAACCCCCTCTCCCAGGCCCCCTAGAGTAATAAAAAAAACTCTATCAAGTCATTCAATTTTAGCATATTAGTGCCAAATAGGTTAAACCTCTTCGGTTTGTTAGTTGAGATTCTGAGAAAAGATTAGAGTTTGATCACGTAATAGTCATATACTACCTCCGACCCGTTAAGATTGCTACATTTTACATTTTCGGTCCGTCCCACTAAGATTGTCTCATACCAAACTTGGTAGAGTTTGTGTGGGTCTACATCATTCTTACTTTATTCTTACTTTATCAATTCAATAACAACCACTTGCATCACTTTTTATTACTTTGGGTGTCTCTTGTTCCATTGTTAGTAGGACGGAGGGAGTACAATTCATATCACTAGTGGATATTTGCCTCTTGTAGCATAAAGACATCAATTTCAAGAACAACGTTCATCTTTCGACAACTTGCCACTAGATCGGTCATTGCAAAACAAGCAAACGTACACCCTCAACCGTGCTAATTCGTTTGCGGATGGGAATGAGTGTGTCGAAATTTCCATCAACATTTTACATCTATCTTAAATCATTGTTCATATCAATATAATTTTAGCGATCAATCGAGATTATAAATGATAACAAATACGGAGTAACATTTTACACAAAACAACGTATATGAATATATACATGCTTTTAGATCTTTTGGAACAAAACCCTATATCATAAGAAAGACCCTCCACAAATCTCAAAGAAATTAACACAATCCATAATTGAAAGAACACTAGAATTGAAATTAAACACATGTTGATCTCGAGCTAATCTCTATGAAATAACAGCTGAATTAAGATCCTTCTAATTCTCTTGTGCACACACAACTACATCGTGCACACTTATGTGTGCTAGCTAAACAGCCCATCGCCCAAAATGTTCACTTATTTTCTTCTCACGTGGACCTCTTGAGCATGTGCAATCCTATGTTTAGTCTAGTTTTGTGTTCATAACCTCGTTCCCAATCTAAATGCTATTCCACACTTTTCTAAAGTCGATACTAAGTTTAATTGCTATAAGACCCAAAATGAATTACTGGCGGATCTATCTGCCACTAACACCAACAGATGATAATCACTTTTTAATACGTAGTATTGGATAGCGTTGGAATGGATTCCGCCACAGAATTATGTCACTAATTTCCGAAATTCTTGTAGTGAAAAGAGAATAGAAAAACGGCACAAATATTACTCGTCATACTAGTTTTTCATTTCTCCAAAAATATGATTAACTTTTTGTTTAATCCATCCATAACATTTTTTTGTAATTTACCCTCAATATATACCCCAATTCCGCCGTTGGAAACCTCCATTGAAAACTTTTGATGATTTTTCTTGTTTTTCATTTTTTTTAAATTCACCAGAAAAAGTCATGAGATATTATTTCAACAGTCACAGTGACATGTTTTAAACACGAGGCAGCGACATTTGTGGCAACGACAATGGCATCCATTAATCACAGAAAATCTAATAATGACATAAAAGTTTTTCAATCTGTAAGTGACATTTTTATATACATATATAAAAGTAGTCATTTGTTTACAATGAGTTTCAATTTAGTCATATATATTTAGTGAAAGGGGGAATTCTGATGATATCATTGTTTACGAGAGTACGTAATTGTCAATCTAAAAAATTAATGTTATGTTTTAACATTATGAAACTTTAAATATAACAGTATATTATCAAAAGTGTCACATTTTTTAAACTTAAGAGTAATTATTCTATTTACTCCTATATTTAGTGCAAATTCTTTTATTAATTATGCTTCGTGTATATATATGTTACTCCGTAGTTGATTGTAAGCGTCATTTTATACGCCGTTCAAATTGTCACAAATAATATTTTTGCAGCGCAAAAAACGATTTTCTTCATTAAACGAACAAAATTGTCCATAATTTAACAACGTGTAAAAATGACGTTAACAAACCATTAGTCTTCTTTTGATGAAAAACACCCGTTCGAATCACACTAAACTGTATTACTGCAACACAATGACGGAGGAAGTACTATTACCTACGTAAGGCAGATATTTTTTGGGTCCCATCACGATATGGAGATCTAATAATTCTCGTGCAAAGAACATAACAGCGCAATATTAATACTCCCTCCGTCCCTAATTGTTCTTCCAAATTAAAGTGGCAAGGGGTGATTAAGAAAGTGAGAATTGTGTGGTGGAGAGTTGTGCAGAGGAGAGAGAAATGCTGTGAACCACAAATTCTTTACCAAAAAGGGAAAGTGAAGTTCTTTTTGGGACGGACGAAAAGGGAAAGTTGGAAGTAAATTCAGGGACAGAGGGAGTACTACGTACTTTTGTTTAATGTGTCTTATTATGTGTCTTATTCGAATTTAAGCAACAATAATTTGTTTATTACCCATAAGGTACGATACCTTTGTCCACATGGGTCAATGAGAATGTACTAGTTGAATTATTTAAATCTAAATTAAAAATGATAAAGTAATGTGGTCCAGTCAAATAAATCATAGGTATAGTACCCTATATTTTAGAAAGGTACCGGAGTAGGATAATTAGCAAAGAGAATCGAGAACTACTCGACCAAATTAAATTGAGCATGTTAACAACAAGGCTTGCCGAGCCACATTTGTTTACTTAAATTATTACGGAGTATTATCTTCCATTTTAATTTGCCGAACTTTTTCTGTAATTGATTAAAGAATATATTCCTTTTTAAGTTTCAGACAAACGATCCTTTAGTCTATTCCTTGTTGGAGTTGTTGCTCAATTGTTTGACTAATATATGGTGTTAGATTAGATAGATGATCCCTCAAAAAACAGATTAGATAGATGACTATCTTTTTAAGATTAGTTTTTAATTCGATCTTATAACCATGTAATTAATTCAATGTCTTTACGATCACTTATTTAAATATTAAAAATCACTTATTTTGAGTATTACTCCGTACTTTTTTATTGGATTCAAATGGGGCACGGGTGATTTACTACATACCGGGAATGGGGTATACCATATTTTAAAATAGATAAATAACAAATATACTCCTAAATTATATGGCAAGGAGCCAAGGAGTATGACTCCATAAAAAATCGGAACATGTTTTACCCTCAAAAAATGCAAAATTCTAACAAATTCACCATTTAACTTTACATTTAGAGAGCATGTATGTACTCCTTAACTATGGGACATAAAAGATACAGGATACGTCTTTATTTATCAAACGTATAGTTAAATGATACATTGATACACTGCCCAATGCCCATCTCTATTTAAATTCCTTAATTTGAATCACACCATTTTATATTAAGAGAACAAACTTTTTCCTTGATTTGAATAGCGCATTACCTTGATTTGAATAGCGCATTACTATGACACTTTATAATCATTCTTGTTGTACACAAATTGTACACCGCTTGTGTACACATGCATTTGGCATAAAGTCATGTCATTTTTAAACGAATTATCTGTATATATACAGGCAAATAGGGGGTTGTGTACAATTTGTGTACTAATTTTATGTACAACAAGAATTTTCGTCAATTTTTTACATTGTTTGGCACTCGGGAGTCATTATTGCTTAAGAGTATTATAATTAATGAATACAAATTTGTTTACTAAATAAGAAAAGATGATTTTGTTTAAGCACATCTAAAAAGGAAAGCAAGAATGTCTTTAAAAATGAAGGGTATATTTGTTCTAATTTTACTATTTTGGGAATGCAATTGATACAAGAAAAGGTGAGAGGTACATTTGTTCTGCAAAGAAGTATATGTTCCTTTTCCCTATTTAATATGCAAAAGATTGGCAACTGGGCAGAGAGAAAGAATCAATTGCATCGGCAGAGAGAGGTCGTAGGAACAAGTAGCAAGGTGCATGAGTTGAAATAAAGCTAATAAAGTGCTTCGACTTTTAATTTTGTTCACCAGATGAGACTTATACTACGACCAAGCCAAACCATCCCTTTAGAATATGATCTTCCTGCTAATGAGGAGTGCATATGACTAGTCTTTGAAATAAGATTCCAACTCGCATGGTTAGCTCAGTTGGTTGGGTGGTGGAAAAGTTGAAACATTGACCAATTATTGAATCCCGCACCGACCACGTGGAGGTTACAACTCATGTGTGCTAGACTGGACATCTGGTGCGTACGGGCACAAAGTCTACCATCATTGGGCAAACTTAGTCATGACTTACATCCTCTCAAATGTCTTGTCGGGTCAGAGCATGGGGCCCATGGGACTGAGGATCCAGCCTTTTTTGGAACAATGAAAATGATTCCAAGCTAAGCTTTGCTAGCTAGCTGTTAATTGCTCCCTCCTTTTGCAACCATTATATATACTGTACAAGCTGCAAAGGGATCATTGTGTCTAAATTATACTAGCTAACTAGCTAAAACGTACTAAGTGTATAGTTATATAATCAACTAGTTTCCTTTCTTAATTGATCAGTCCTTTTCATAGTATATTTATGGCTGCAACAAATTGCAGTTCTAAAAAACTAGTCCTGAGGATGGGTAGTTTTGGGTTAATGTTAGTTTTTGTGCTACTACTCTCCCATGAAGTTGGAATTGGGGTGGTGGAGGGAAGGCAGTTGATAAGGTCAAAGGTGCAGTGTAAAGAACAAGGTTGTTCTTCATCACAGGAGGCGCCGCCGCATGAAAAGAGCAGTAAGCTAAATTATAATGTGAGTAGTAGTAAGCTTCCGGTCGGCGGCTTTGGTCGCCCTTCTTCCGATGTGGCGGCGGCTGGCGGCGGCAAGAAGGTTGTGTACACATTAGATGCTTTCCGACCCACGTCACCGGGGCACAGTCCCGGCATGGGTCATTGATATTTAATTGCATTCAGAATTTCAGATCATGTAGTTTGTATACAGTGCTACGTATTTTATACTCGTATTATTTGTTTAGTAATGTAAATTGTTACTATACACACACACATATATATATATGTATGTATCAAAGTAGTGCGTATGTATAAATATATAAGTAGATACGCCATATGTATGTGTGTGTTTTAAATTTCAAGCACTGGTTGTAATTAGCTATATATTTAGCTTAGTCCCTAAAATGTATGAATTGTTCTTCGCTTCAATGTAATATAATAATGTATTACTGTGTAATCTGTTTTAAGTTTTTCATTTGTCTAACAAATATGGTAATATTACATTGTGATTTCTGATTCCCGATGTGGTGCAAGTGTGAAAAGATGCAGCATAGTAAGAGCGAATAAGAGCCGCATCGGGTCGATTATTGAGCAATTAAGAGCGAATAATCATTTGAGAAATGCTACTTGTACACCTAGTAGCACAACACCAATTTACACACTCAAGTTTGATTGTCTGTGTATCGATAATTGATCCTGAATTATCTATCTATACATAATTCAGTTTTTGATGTCACAAACACTTCTCTTTAATTAAATTAAAATTAATTATCTATGTAGAGATAATTACACTTGAGCGTGTAAATTGGTGTGTAACTGAGCATGTACAACTTACAAGTAAAACTTTCCTAATCATTTTTGTTCCAAATTTGAAAAAAAAAAAACGTGTCTTCAACTCTTACACAATTTGGGATATAGCAAACATTAAAGAAGAAAGATGTAAAAGAGAGAGAGGTGGTCAAATTGAGTATCTACTCCGCTGTTCAACCTTTTTATAATTCAATTGTGAAGTTTAAATCGACGAAGTTTAACATTGGATTTTACAAATTGACATCTTAAGTTTTTGTGTACACTTTTATTACTCCCTCCGTTCTTTATTAATAGTCCTTTTAGCTTTGGGCATAGGTTTTAATAACAAAATAGTAGTAGAGTAAGTATAGAGTGTGTAGGGTAAATGATAAAGTAGGAAAGATGGTATATTAAAAAAAGTAAAGTGATGATAAAGTAGGAAAGAGAGTGTATTATGAAAAATAAAGTGATGGTAAAGTAGAAAAGAGAAAATACGATAGTAGTTTGTAAAATGTAAGTAGGTAAAAGTAATAAAAGTGGAAGTATTTTCTCAAAAACTTTTCTTAAATGGAAAGGAAGACAAATAAAAAAACAAACCAAATGGAATGGAGGACTATTAATAAAGAACAGAAGGAGTATCTATTAGTGTTCTCTTTCAGCTGAATTTAATTTGTATGATGATTTGAAATAGCTTGTTTAATCTGTTCATATCCATTTTTCATTAAATCTAGTCTCATCTTGTTAAGGGCGTGTTTAATTTGCTAAAGATTATAATAAGTGCTTTTCAGCTTTTGGCTTGAAAATAGTTGAAATGAGTGTTTTCAAATGACAGCTTTTAAACCGTGGGTTATAATAATATCAACTTGTTTTCGGCTGAATTTAATTATCTAGTCTCAACCTGCTTTCATCTTTTCGCTTTTAAGTGGAGCGTGTAAACCGGCGGGTTATAATAAGGTTGAGAGCTGCTTTAAAATCCTTTTTCGTTTTTTTCTATTACACAAAAAACACTTATTCTATCAAACACTACCAACTTTTACTTTCTCATAATCACTTTTTTCTAACACTCTCAACTTTTACTACTAATCACTTTTCTCAAAATCACTTTAAAAATCACTTTTTTTTAAAGTAAAAGCAATTGCAAATACTCCTTAAGTTTGATGTTCAGCGAATTTTTTTAATAAAAAAAACCAAAAATTAATTTGAAAGGATTTTTTTTGCGATGAATTTGAAAGGATTTCATTTTATATTTGAAAAAGATGCGAGTAATATATAACATTAATAATAATGTATTAATAACAATACAATCGGCATAGTATCAAACCAACCCACACGAATACATGACCAATTTTGCCAAATACAGAGTATGAAAAGATTATATAAGACTAAGGTAGTCTGGTAGTGTTTGCAACTACGCGCATCTCGATTTTTGGCTTAAAAAACTAAAATAAGTATTTTCAAGTAACAACTTCTACTTAAAAAAACATTTCTCGACATTTGTGCGAAAGTAATTTTTAAATTTTCTATTACACAAAAGCACTTATTTTACAAAATCACTTTTTTCTCAAACACTATTAATGTTTACTACTCATCATTTTTCCAAAATCACTTCAAAAAAGTACTTTTTTTAAGCAAAAGCAATTGCCCCAAACCACCCCAGAACAGAACAGGAAAACAGGCAAGATCGCTGTGTTGGAGCAACGTAAAATAAAACAATTATTTTTATTACGAAGCACTGGTAGAATTTTATAAATTGAGTGAAGCTAATAGTAAAGCACAAATGCACAATAGCGACATGCGGGGAACTATAAAAATGAAGATGCATATTGTTAATATTTACTTGAACAGCCGGTTTAAAAATGTGGCAAAACCAATGGTATGTAATGAGGGAAGAGGAATATTAATAAAATAAGAAAATGAATACTATAAAATACAGAAAATCAAAACATGCACTACCCAGCCATATATATGCTATACACACTATTACCCCGAGTTTTCACTTCGGTCAAACAAAGAACCAACACTTCCCATATACGTATTTCTCACTTAGCCAAATGGGGAGGGAACCGCTGCTACAAGAGCATCTGACCTTTTAATACTGCCCATACCACAGATTATACATCCGGGCGTAGATAGAGCAGAGAATTTGGCCCCACAGAGGTCACAAACATCATATCCAATGGTTGATAAACGGCCAAGCGTGGCGGCACAAAATTGAGAAGGATCTTCTAGTGGATCGATTGACTTGTTGGACAAGCCTCTTTGGACACAAACATCAATCAGGCTTCGGAGCTCATCTTGTTTGCTTATAGGCGCCTTGGACAGCAGCAACTCAAGCATCTGTTTGGCATAACCATAGTTCTGAACATCCATGTTCCTCTTGATGGCTGTCCGGATGCAATTTATCCTGTGCTTAGCCAGAAGTGGCAACGAACCCAAGTGACGTGCTAATCTTGCCATTTCATCTTTAGCACTTATTGCACTACTAGTGCCTTGGACTTTCTGCAGACGGTTGATTTCCTGTTCAATGCCAAAAACCACATTAATCATTTGTGGAAATGACCATTGACATAGCATGACGTGAAACATACACAGTATGGATCTGTTCGGTTTGTGTAGCTAAAAGTTCAAACTATGGGTCTGTAGATTTTTTCCCTTAGACCCCGATAAACTCTCACAGTGCTAAGCCAATGTTCATCACCTAGGGCCCTGTGTAGTGCTTTTGTTAGAATACTGGCCAAGGTTAGGATCAATTATCTAGAGCTAGATTTGAGGTTGCTGAACTAGAAATCCTAACTGAATGAAGTACACCCATTTGACAAAAAAGATGAGCTGGAAAATAGCTCATTGTGCAGCAGTTTCTTGAATAAATTACAGAGGAAAATATTTTATACAAATATTAGGTTAATTTCTGTATTTTTTCAACTCCATTTCATGCCAGTCCAACATCAAACAAAGTTATTGTTCCACTAGAGAGAGCTAGATTCGGAGGATCTCAGTCCATAATGGAGTGAACCGGAATGCCAAACATAAATTAGCTCTTGAGGAGCTGATTTATGTTGAAACTTGAAAGACGTAAAAGGCATTACATACATTTGCTTATAAACGAATAAAAGGATTTCCTAATGTATGCCTGTTTGAAAAGTCTTTCGAAACTTGAAATGAGAGCACATTAATGCTATAAGTGGGAAACAGATGAAATTGTAGGAGCTTATTTCTGAAGAAATACTGCAGGAGATCGCATTTCAAAAAAGGATGATTTGAAGCATGTAATATGTTTAGCAAACGGGTCTAATAGCTTATTTGAAGCATAATATAAGTCATAAGTTATAAGCTCCAAAATAAGCTCTACTAACACACACTACATGAAAGCAGCGGTGAGTAATTAACCAAACAAGCATTTATAAGCCAAAATGGAAAAATTAACGCTTGATTTCATTGCAGGTTAGCATAAGATATAATAAGTAATCCAAGACACCGTACCTGAAGAAGAGTGACTGCGATTTTGTATTGGGCGCATATTGTTCCTTGAGCTTTGATGTCAACTCCACGAGATTGATCCTTAGCCAATGCCAAGAAGGCTTCATCAAAGCAGGATAATGCATCTGGAAGCTGATTCTGCTCAAGATGCGCAAGTCCAGTCTTGAAGCAAACTGAAGCAGCAGCTCCGCGAGGAACCTGTCAGGGAAAAAAGTTAAACCATGCTATGGGACATGAAAAAAGAGAGTTCAAAAAGGATCGAAAAAAGAAAAGGCTAAATGTGGGCCTACAACAACTCATTTCTCAACATTATAAATTTGTAGGTCTCATATACATGCATTTTTAGGGGTCCTATACATACTTTTGAATACAGAACCACCAACTATACAGATGGAGTGTAATGAAAAACGTTATGAGGAGTACTTTAAGAGAAATGGATCAACTTGAAGGAGCACTTTAACAGCACGCCATAACATAAGACAAAATCAGATGAGCAGTAGTTTCTGTAGGCAGACTAGTCATAACTTTTACATCTTGCTGTCTAACATTAATAACCAATCAAGCTTGCAAAAACAGATTTTTTAGGACTCTTTTAAGGCGGATGCGGTAATTCTCACAACTAGGATCTATGATGTAATGCTTAATATTCTCATATGAAGCAGGAGTATGATTGAGCAGCCTTAGCAAGCTCAACATACTCAAATATATACACATGAAATGCGTAAAATAACTTTTACCTGTCCAGGACGAGCAGCTTTTGGAGAAGTTGGACGTGCAGAAAGCGGTTGTAAAGCTCCAGGAGTTTCAAGAGCGCTGAGGTCAAGGTGTTGTGTTGCTGTTGAGGTCGGTGCCATCTGAAACAGAGGTTGTTGAATGGCAGAGGGTGGCTGCATCACATGAGTAACGGATTGTGGTGGGACGCCACCATCTGGAAGTCCAAAAGACTCAGTTGAGCCGGTTGGTTGAGTAGGTGCTTGGGGGGGAACTCCTCCACCAGGAAGACTAATATCAGCAGGAATAACACCTGCAGGGTTCAATTCAACTTTATCGCTTTCGACTCCCTTAGAACTTTGATCATATTTTGACAATAATGACCCAGGAGGAGGCAATGAAGCAGCAACATGAACAGATGATATAGTATTCTCAAAGAAATCCTCAGGAATTGGCTGCACTGTAAGTGACTTGGTTCCTACTCCCTTAACTGAAAGAGCAGGCGGTGGCAACACAGGTTGTATAAGTGAATCTGTTCCAAAGAGGTCAGCAGGAGAAGAAACAGCAGGAGGTTGTACAGGAGCCAAAAGTCCAAGATCGGGTGATGAACCTGTAAGTGACTTGGTTCTGGTCATTGGCAGACCCAATTGTTTTGTGGCTTCTTTAATCTTATCCACATCTACAGTAGTGGAAGAAACAGATTTGTCCTTGATTTTAATTAGGAACTTTTTCTTTTTTGATGTTTCTTCTTCATCACTACTGCTACCATCAGCCGCTGGACCATAGAGTGATTTCTTGAATTCCTCCTCGGCTTTCGCCTGCTCATCTACTACAGCAGCATTAGAGGCCGAAAACTGTTTAGAAAGACTTTCAATGCCCATCATAAAATCACCACCCTTTGATTCACTCACAGGCACTCCTTTAGCAGACTGGTTGGACATTACTGTAGATGGTTGCTGTCCATCAGCTTTAAATGCTTTAACCAGAGCATCCTCTCTCACTTCAATAACATTTCCTCTTCCTTTGATTAAGCCCAGATACACACCGATGTGATCTGTTACGATAGATGGGATCATTCCATCATCGGTTCTCATGTAGGGCATCACCTCAGCAGCCAGTTCCCACTGCGGTATGCTCTTCATGTTGGTTGGCGTCTTAATCTCCCAGTTACCGCCGCCCCATTCAGGTCCCTTAGGAACCATACTTTCCGCAGCAAAGTTTGCAAATATGCCTTGTGTCCACCCTGTAGAGCGCACCCTCAAAATCCGTTCACAATATCGCCGCAACTCTGGATCCCCACCTTCTTCTTCCAACTTCTGGGCAAGTCTCCTCATAGCACTAGGATTAAGGTGGCAGATAAATAGGTCTAGCAAGCTTTCATAGTCTGATATGACTTCAAAAGTTTCTTTTGCACTATCAAACTGTGCATACCTGAGATGGAACCAAAGCAAATTGAGACAGGAAGTGGAAAGTTGATATTTATTCACTGAACCATTTATCAGGACAAAGGATATGAAGAAGCATATTTAAAAATGGATGAGAAAAAAATATGAAGCATGCCAGGGAAGAGTTCAATAAGAGGCAACAAACTTTTAAACAGGGTGTCATTGTCAATTCTAAATTACGGAGTATTTAGCTAGGCTCATACATTTACTTATCAGTTATCACAAATAACATTTGTCACAATACGTACTTGATGCAAGAATATCCCAACTGTCGAAATTGGTGAAAAAGATGAGATGTTGAGGGGCACCGCGGATAATCTCTAGATCGCAAAAATTCATCCTTCAAAACTGATAAAGCAGTAGAAAACCGCAGTGCTTTGGTTGCATATGTTCCTCGCAATACCTGACTCGCAAACAAAGCTCTATGTGACAACAAAAAACAAAAAATTACATATGCACAGAAGAAAAGAGAAGTAAACTTCACTAACCTGGGTGAATTGTGGGCCAGATTGGGATAGAGATACAGCAAGATCACCACAAACTGGAGGGCCACTGGCAAGTATATCAAGTGATCTTGGAGTGATCCGCAAGCTATCAAACCTTCATTTAGATAACAAATAGTAAATTTACAAGAGTTGCAAGTATTTACACACATGACCTTTGTTCCGAGAATGCTAGATTCCTCAACAACACCACTAAGAGTGCATTGCTGGATAGAGAAACTACACCTGGTGGTTATCTGATATAGTACTTCAGAGAGATCAAGCTTCTGCTCAAAGTATTGTTGCATTGTGGCAAACCCAATTAGAAGTGGTTCAAGAAGCCCAACAAGGCAATTCTTAATTTCAATTCCCTTTTTTTGTCTAGGATTTATATCTGTAGGGTTTGCAAGCAGTAATCGATCATTCAAAGCTCCAATCAGAACTGCAGGTTGAGGTCAGAATGAGGCTCAAACAAGGTTAGCATTGATCTAAGAGCAATACCAAATGATGGTGTAAAAAGTAATTGAATGACATCTTTTGGTATATAGTTTATTGCAATGGCAGTAATGTTGAATACACACCTGCATTGGGCATGCTAATGGAAAGAATACTTCTCACTTTTCCATCCCAACCAAGGACACAAACAGCAGTAGTAGTAGAAAAGAGAAGTGCAGGGCCAACCCATAGAAGGGATCTATAGTAATCACAAGTTAAAAAATCCAAACAATCTGGAGCAGATAAAAAGGATATACTTGAAAGCATTCATGAGAGAATTAACAGAAAAATAATGAAAGAAAGGATATTGAAGGAAGCCCGTTGTCAAATTTTCTAGAACTGCATGAAATTATATCAAGATCTGCTGAGACAATAAGCACCCTGTGTGTGGTTAGTACACCGGCAACATAGCCTCTAAGAGTTTCTTGCCATTGTACCTGCAAAAGGGGACTTAAAAATAATGAACTGTGAACTGTATAAAAAAATCAATAAATGAGGAGGCAATACGAGACATGCTTCAGTGTTTCAAATATAGATCGGTGTCGGATCTCTTCTTCGTGTGTACTAAAAAAAATAAGGTGTAAACATAAACATAGACAATATTTAGTTTTAAACGTGAGAGGAGTTCACCTGGAGCACAATTTCATTTACTTTCAATTTGATAGATTTTTTCCCTTCAGATTTTGTTGATATATAATGTCCATCAGCATTTGAGAGACGGTATCCTTGGAAAAGCTTTGCCAAACCAATCTGGACGCCATAGGAAGCAAACATCACAGTTGATTCTACAGCCACCCCACCAAAACAGAGAAAGAAGAGTCGGAATTCATTGCAGGAGTTGATAAGAAACTTTAGTATCAAAAATATTATATTAAAGCTACCTATTGGAGTAGAAAAAATCCGATCAACTTCGCTTTCAAACATAAACTGTTGTGGACCCTTAACCATGGCAACCTCAGTTTCTGCAGCCTGGTCTAGATCAACTGCCCCATTCTTTTCATTGGACTCCTGTGTAGCTGCTCCCGGCAACATATATAAAGAAAGCCCGGTCCTATCCTCATCAAGAATTGCAAAATGATTTTCACTACGACCAATAAAGGCAGCATCCCGACCTTCATAATAAAAAGAATAACACTTTGGGTTATATTAGAAAACTTTATTTGTTGCAACCCATGGCACAATACTATGTACATACAGCAACGGCAGAAAAGATTAAAAAAGGGAAAGACCTTTAGCTGTGGTGACTTTACTGTTTGCAAGTTGAGGATCTATGTTTTCCCAATAAAGAACCACTTCATGAGTTGAACCACTGAACTCATAGACAATGAGAAACAGGTGTTGCATTTTGCTATAGACAATGTTGTTTGGATGGAATTCTACATTACCAGGAATCTGAGGAAACATAACAGAAGAGAAAGGGTTCAAGCCACTCTCATCGTGCGGAAGTAAATTGCCTTGAGCTATTCATAAATCATAACAAAGATGCTCAAAATTACCGAGGTATAAAGCTTCTTGTATATAGTTTCGGCAGCAGAGGAGAGATTATAAGCTGTAAGGTTGACTCCTTCGGCATAGAAAGCTCTGACGGGATAATGAAGAATTCGGTTCTCTTTACTAAAAAAGTTTAGCTCCAGATGGAATGCCTGTGAAGGATGGTGATTAGAGAAAATTTTAGAACAATTCTCATATGTGAAAGAAAAAACTTATAACCTCACCTACCTACTTACCTGGACTACAGGAGTATGTCTCAATAAATTTTTAGTGTCCAAAATAGTAATGAGAGGTAATCGAGATATTGGAGCACTCTTGGCATGACCTTCCATAAAATGCTGTTCAAAATTTAGAGAAAAGTACGTAAAAGAATGAGGAAAGGTAACAGTTTCACTGCAAGGGAGAAAACACAGTTAAACAAAATACTACTTATATCTTTAAGGTAGCATTCAAGGATTCCTTTATTAAATACAATGCACAAAGAATCAATGTGACAGGCCCATACTAATTGAGGGTATTAATGAATAAATAAATGTATGTGTAAAAATATACTAGCATATGTATGTAGCTGCTAATGCTTTTCAAACGAAACATCACAGAGTTATCTGTTCAGAAGGACATACACTGTAAAGAAAAGCCTTCCGTGCTATGTCTGATATTGTAAGCTGGTTTTGCCTGATACGAAGTCAACAATTTGTCATGCAGTGATTATTCTTATTTGCAGAACGAGGAAGAAAATAAGGCACATGGTAGTCCATTTATTAGCACGAAAGTAGAGCAGGAACTGAGTTCTTATGCCAATGAAAATGTGTTAGAGACCTCCAATTATTCAGAGATTACAGAAAAGAATATCAAGAAACAATGGAATTCTTTATTGAAGAAGATGAACAATAACAGAAACAAGAACAAAGGCCGAAGCCCCCAACTGAGCCGAAGCCCCCCAAAGAAAGAGCAAACACTCGATCTTCCCAGTCCCCAAGACTAAACAGTCCAAAAGCCTTCTTACCACTCCCCCTTCCCGTCTATTTATACTAAACATACTAATAGACCCTTATTACTAATATTATTCTTATTACAACTATTATTATTATTATTCTTTCTATTATTCATCTACTAGGTAGGTCCCTATCAAAATGTTGGTACTAGCTGAGCATAGCAATTTCCCCCCCCCCAAAAAAAAGCTGAGCATAGCAATACCCAAAAGTAATCAAGTGCTTGGTAAGAAGAGTCCAACCCTTTATTTATTAAAGAATAAATTAAAATTTTGCAACAAGAAGCTAACAAATCGAATCCTTGAAGGATAGCAAGTTTGAGAAATGATTCTCATTTGCTTCCATAAACTCTGAAAAACTAACAAAAAGACATCCCAACTAACCCTTTCAAATGATGTTCTTGAAGCTTTGCTTGGAGTTGATGATCAGCTAATATTCCAGATGAACCAAGTGCTGAAAGTTTCTCCTTCAATACAGATGCTGAATAGCATAATACGTATATAGCAAAAGTCAGCAAAGACACCCCATGAATGCACTTGAATCTCACATGAGTACATGACACATAGTTACATTCCTTAGGGAGTGTAATTGGTCTGACTTCTTCAATATATCCAGACTACACCATTAGATATGATGTCCTAGATGGGCAAAATAGTTGTGAGAGATTCGCAGTTCGATTCTAGAAAAGAATACAACTTACTATCAAAACGCCCTAAACTCTTCTCAAAAGTTCACAAACATACTAACCAAGTAACCAAATTACTTGGGTAGTCACATGAACGTATATTATTATTAACTCCTACCTACCCCCAACAAAACTTCAGGAAATAAAGTTTGCTAACACGAGTACTATATGTCTGCAAGTCCCCATCAAACATGTCTTTAGGAAATAAATTAAATAAAAAACATAGTTCAAAATAGCAGCTTTGATGACAAAATGAATAACAATGGCACCATCATATAATCTATTGACAATTTTCACCTGAATGGATATCTTTGAATAATTTAAACAGGCACCTCACCTGAGGATCCTCGTGCACTTTGTAGAACTGCAAAAAGTTGTTTTCGTCCCTCTCTGGTATATGCAGCTTTATTTTTCCGATTGTCACCACCACTCATATTCTATTGAGAAAGACCAACAAATCTCAAAATGTGCCTGAAATTCATCTATCTGTAGCACAATTGCACAAAGTAGATACCCACCGCAAAAAGCAACACTGCTAGATTGAATTTTGGGTGAACTTCTAAAGCCTTAACTCGTGGAAGTGGATATACTGCTTCTCCCCCTTGCTGTGACAGAATCCGAGGGATATCAATTGATTCAATTGCTGCCATATGCCATATAACAATATGAATCAGATAATTAAAAAAAAGAACAAGCCAGACAAAAACATCGAAATTTGTGAGCAAATAGGTTTTACAAAGCACGGTTTATTGTTATATGTGGCATCGGAATTTGCATCGGAGGTGAAACAGAAATCAGACTAGAAACAGGAAATAACGATGGAATTATAATTCTGTATTCCCAAATAAGAATCTAAAGTTATAAACACTTTAATCGCATTTCACAATTCAAATATATATACTTTTTAAACTTATCCTAGTTCCATTTTCTTAATAAATACAATATTTTATAAATTATAAATAACAACTACTCCATCCTAAAATAAGGTTCTCACTTACTTTTCACACACAATTTAAGAAGGTGAAGTTTGTAGTTGATAACAAGTGAAAGAAATATTATGAACTATGTACTTCCTCCTTACAAAGGAAATGAGTTTATTTTGGGACCAAAAATAATAATACTCCCTCCATCCCACTAGAAGGTTCCCGTGAACGGTTTACGATGCTTGACTGACAATAAAGCAACTTAATCCCTGTTCACACTCTGATTATTTTTAGTAAATAAAATTTACATATTCAGAAACTACATTAAAACCGCTACATAGCCTGATAAAAAAATGTAAATTTGATAAAAATTTGATATATAAAGCAAAAGATTGAAAATAATTTAAGTTGACCATGTGAATAATGGACGGGAACCTTCTAATGGGATGGAGGTAGTAATCATAATAATAATAATAGTAATAGTAATAGTAATAATAATAATAATAAAATAATAATAATAATAATAATAATAATATTAAGTCTTTTTGGGACAAAGGTACTACGGTACGAACCAGCAGGTTCAAAAAAATTAGCCTGCATTGGAGGCCTGTTAGGGTTCAGAATGACTCTTGTTTTCCACACTTGGATGCTTCCATCTTTGGACAGAGTGATGAGCGCACGCAGCAATGGTAGCCAAGAAAGCGACGTAATAGCCTGAGAACCAACCTGTGTGCTGAAATTACATTGGAAAGCTATGTAGTCAAGAACCAACTAGACCAGATAAATGAAATCAATTTTCATAATGAATAAGATATAATAGGAATAATATTGCAAGTTAAAAACATTATAGCTTTATAAGAGACGAAATTAATAGAAATCTCAAAAAAACTTGCCAAAACAGACACATGCAACTTACATTCCAATCATCATAGGCCTCTCTGTGGATACGTCCCATGCAATAAGCGTCCCACGCCTGTCACCAATGAATAGCCATTCCAGTGTTGGATGAAATGCGAATGCACCCGCACCAATCAGCTTTATGGTATTATCGACTACAAAAATGCAAAATACAGTTTATCTATGAAGCAAGACTATCAGGTGAGATCCTCTTCCAATTCAATGAAGGATAAAGGTTTAGAGCAATACGTTGTAAAGTGTAAAGAACAGCATATGTATGGATATTGTAAGCTCGAACTAGACCTTCCGCATAAGCTACATACTGGAATCAAGATAAATTATAAAGAATATGTCAAACGGTGACACCAAGATATTCAGTTTACAATAATGGAAACAATAGATGTATTGAAATCATAATTACCAAAACAGGAAGTCGAGGATGGCAAGCAAGATTGACAATAGGTTTCTTCAAGTCTGTCTTTATTTTTGTAGGTGCTTTACCACCTTCGACAGTTCCAACAACTTCATACAAGAAAATGCTAATTATTTTAGTACATTTGACGGCACATGGGAGACAATATTCATCAGAATACTACTTACTTTTTCCACCCATTTATGGTACAATGTGAGTTTCGTTCAACTGCCCAGCAAGCTTTAGAGGGAAATAAAGAAAGCAAACATGGGCCATTCATAGGTATATAGTGAATTTAGTGCCTCAATTATTAGACACCACTCACCACCTTTAGTCCTTGATTTGTCATTACAGTGGTGGTTATGTAACATAAATAATACTATGTATAATCTTCTAAAACTTGAGGATATTACAAATCTACAATAACCGCGCAAGACTATATCCAAATAGTCACAGATAGATTTACATTTCTGCTTTACTTAGTTACTATTAAACGATCAAAATGGCTTCATCTTCATTTATTGTCTTAACAATTATTAAATTTGATTATCACTCGGTACATTTATGAGGGACAAACTTTTAGGATAACTGAGGGACTAAAAGTGACGACACTAAAATTTAAGGGACTTTGCTATTTCTCGATTATTGAGGGGCAAAGTTTTAAGTTTTCACATGAAAAAATGTTTAGGCAAGAGCCAAGAGAACACGGTTGAATGGAAAGCATTAGGGAAGAATGAAGAAGCGAAGAAAAACTGCTAAACTATGCTATCCTCATTTTCACCAAATCTAAAGAAGCTGGAAAGACTGCAAAATAATACTCTGCACACTACATTTATTTTATCTCTTCATAGTTCCTCTTTCTTGTGTCTTTTCCTCTATGTAGTAGTGATTATTAAGATGAAGGTTAGCCTCGAATCTAATCGTCTAATCGGAGTATTATCTAATAATAATAATAATAAATCATCAACTTGACTTGAGGATTAACATGATAATAAGGAATACTGGAATAGAATTAAAACACGTGATTTCTGTTTTCCTATAAAGCAGGCATGTAAGAGAAGTTCTAAAACAGCACATCTATAGTTCTCTGCTAGGAAAAATGGGGAAAAAACAAGGAAAATGACCAAGATTAGGCCAACCACATTTGACAACTTATCTACCTGTCACACTCATCCTGCGATGGAAACCGAAGAATACTACAGGTTGAAGGGGAGTTAAGGCAAGATGGACTTCGGTGTCTGCAGAAATCTGTTCCGTCCTTTTTTCAGGAGAATGGAGCACACATGTTTGCTCAACATCAAAATCACATGACCTAATTGTACAATCCTAAACAACAGTACGGGGCAACCATCAGCCACACACACAAAAGAGCAAACAATCATAATAGGCATGTCCAATCTATTTTGGCAGGAAAAAAATGGTAAATAGTATCACAAACACCAATAAAGAGAACATCGAAAACCATATTCATAATGGTAAACAAAAGAATATGGGGAGCTTCAGTGTTCAGCGCAGTGTTAACGTTAAGAAATGTGAAGCCCACTATGACATTTATTATGTGTGTTCTGAAAATCTGGAGTCAATTGGGTAACTTTAGAAGCAAACCTCGAGGATGGCAATAATAGCATTCCCACTAGTCGGGCTATAAGCCATACGAACAACCGGCGATCCCATGTCTATTGCAGCGATCTTACATCCAGTGTATGCATCAAATTCTGAAGTTTCGAAAAGATTAATCATAAAAAACTTTAACGAATGAATGAAATCAAATCAGAACGTTGTATTCATGAGCGGAAACGCATATAAAATGAAGGATTTACCAATGACGTAGGTGCCAACTGCTACGGATACGAGTGCCTGAATGGGGTGGAAAGCTGCGGCGTGAGGCTGCAATGTCTTAGAGCTCCGGCCGACGTGCCGGAGATCTAAATGCTGAAGCGTTGCCCACTCCATGAATCTCTTTCCCACAATTGAGCCCTTCAATTCCAGCTCATGAACATCGATAAAAGAACTGAATAAACACCAACACCAACAGCAACGAAAACAAGTGCAAATTCAGATCTCAGACACCGCTCCTTCATCAATTCAGGAAAGCTCTTTGGAGTTTGTTTTTTAAATAATCAAGTCACTACCCGCAAAGAAATGATGCAGAAAGATTAATTGGACTAAGGCAGTGTTTGCTATTGATTTTACAAAGCACTTTTGGCTTTTTTTTTTTAAAAAAAAAGCTGATTGGAGTGTTTGCTATTACAAATTTTAGCTTCACTTAAGTGCTTTTTACGTAGAAGCTGAAAGCACCTCAGGGGTGCTTTTATCAGCTTTTAGGTACAACTGTAAATAAATGCAAAATTGAGGAGACTTTTATCCCTTCACTTTTCTGCTCTTCTGCCCATGTTACCCTTCTTCTTCATCTCTTTTGTCACTCAAGCATTCTGAGTTCCGAAAGTCAGACCAGCGGGAACAAAGAAACACCAACAAAACTGCGTTGATTAATTTTATTCTTCTCATTTGATCTAAAAGCGGATCTTCTTCATCATGTCTCTATTTCCCAACCGATAAAGCTCCACCTTGATTTCCAAAGGTCAGTCCAGCGGGAACAAAGCAACACGCCAACACAAACAAACTTGAATTCACTAATTTTATCCTGATTTTGAGAATTTTGTTAAACCCAATTTTGTTTGGATATGGTTTTTCGAGATTGTTTACCTGATCTTACAAAAAGCAACGGTTGAAGCTTGAAATCATTGGCGGTCCAGGACTAGGAGAAGAAATGTAATACAAATAATAATTGAAAGGGTATTTTTGTACTTTCACACATATACTATACCACAAACATTTTTTTTATCAAACACTTCAACTTTTACTTTTTCATTAAAATCACTTCTCTTTACAAACACTACTCACTTTTACTATAAATCACTTTTCCAATAATCACTTAAAAAATCACTTTTGATAAGCAGAAGCAAACGCAAACATAGCCTAAGGTAGATTGAATGGTAAAGTGTTGTGGTACAGTATCCCATTTAAGTACGGTAGTTGTCACCTTCACCTTAAAATGTACAGTGTATTGAGTTAGGAATTATTGCAAAACTTTAAAAAAAATTTAAATACGGTACAATTAATGAAAAAATAGTAAAAACTAAAAACTCAATGAAAAATATGTTGACTTTAAAAAAAATGTGTAAATACATATATTTACTTTATGATACTCCTTTCGTAACAAAAAACTTATCGCTTTCCTTTTTTGTTCGTAACAAAAAAAAATAATCTTATTTTTAAATCTTCTCATCATATCTCAATAATTCTAAAAATAATATACTATTACAATTACTTTTTTGGGATTTATCCTACGCTCCATCACATTATTCCACTATCTTTTTATCATACCCTCAGTAATTCATATTCTCTTTCACTATTCTTAATATATCTACTTTTGAAATTAGAAAGTTTTTAAGTTATGGAGGGAGTATTTGTTACAAAAATTCGAACAAAAATATGAGCATTATTTCTTGTTAAGATCCGGGGTTCCATCCTAAAAGGTCAACCTGTTAGGAGGAGTAGCCCGAAGCTTAATATAGCACTCTAATGTTTCTCAATTTTCCGGTGTGGGACATTTAACACCCCTCCTCACGACCAGACACTTCGTCTGGATCGTGCAATCATTCATTTTTTTTTATCGGTCCGTTTTTTTTTCATCCGGCCATTTTTATAATCGTGTCATCACGATTCATAAGGGGCCCAACACCATGGATCGATTTGGCTCTGATACCATGTTAAGATCCGGGGTTCCATCCTAAAAGGTCAACATGTTAGGAGGAGTAGCCCGAAGCTTAATATAGCACTCTAATGTTTCTCAATTTTCCGGTGTGGGACATTTAACAGGTGTTAAGACTCGGGGTTCCATCCTAAAAGGTCAACCTAAAGGTCAACCTGTTAGGAGGAGTAGCCCAGAGCTTAATATAGCACTTGTTTCATCCAAACTTTTCCGGTGTGGGATATTTAACACCCCTCCTCACGACCAGACACTTCGTCTGGATCGTGCCATCATTCATGTTAGAACTTTTATTGTGGGTCAAGTTTGTCTGTAATGTCTTGTTTAAATAAAGTAGACTAGTTATACTATTTATGGTATTAGATTAGTATTTATTATGTAGCAAATAAGGTAAAGGGAATAAGGCCCAAAAAGGCCTTGGCCCAACTTCCAAGGTTTACCTAAATCGGTAACCTGTACAGCGCCTATAAATATGCGCCTTGTGTACAGGTACCGATATCGATCAATACACATTAGCCTTACGCTGCCAAATTTACTTCTCGATAAAACAGAAAGAAGAATTTCCTTGTTCTCGATATTGCCTTATCATTATCAGATCTTCTCTCTTTCTGTGTGTCGATGAAATCCATCTAGCTGCGTGTTAGTCTGCATAATCTGGGACCAACAACTGGTATCAGAGCTTTCTCGAGTATGATCGTCGAAGAAAAATTTTCGAAGTTTCTCTGTTTTCATACTTTTCGATATATCTCTTTGTAATCACTGTAATCTTGTTTCTGATCGATAAACTGTAAAAGTTATACCATTGGATTCGCCATTCAGAAACGAACCAAGGGTATATCTTACTTTTCGATTTCAGTAGATTCGGTATTTTTGATTTCTCGATAGTATGAGTTCGAAAAGCAGGGTTCTCGACATTTAAGCAGTTTTTTCAGGACGAAAACTATACAGGAAGACTCTCGAGATCAAAAACTTCACAGAAAAGTTGTTTAAACTGTTTAAATCTGAACTTTTGATTTGCAGGATTTCGATACTACGTTCTCGATACAAGTTCTCGAACTGAGTTCTCGAGATTGCTTTCTCGATACTTAGTTTTCGATACTGAATATCTAAAAACTCTGTTTTTCAAATTGCAGGTTCTCGATACAGCTTCTCGACACTCAGTTCTCGAAACTAAGTTCTCGAACTTAGCTTCTCGATACTGAAGTTCTTGATACAGCTTCTCGAATCCTGCTTCTCGATAAACAGGTTCTCGATATTCACTATCGAAAACTGGTTCTCGATAGAACTTCTCGAACCCTAGTTTTCGAATTTTTCTTGAATTAGGTTTTCGACATTCTGCATCTTAAATTTTTTTCAGATCAAAACACTCGACCGATCTGTTAAGGCTCAATCAGCAAAGATGGAAGCATTAGCACTTGGAAATGACAACAGACCACCCATCCTCAGAAAAGGAGAATATCAGATGTGGAAGACAAGATTCTTGAACTTTCTGGAAGGGAAAGACAATTCATCTGCCATGCTTGAATCACTCACACAAGGTCCTGCTGAGATCTATACTGAAGTAGATACCTCAGATGTAAACAACCCCCCTGTCAACTATGTGAAAAGATTGAAGACAAAAGGCGAATACACTGAGGCTGACAAGTTGAGAATCAAAGCTGATCTCATGGCAAAAACTTACCTGCTGCAAGCTATCCCCAATGATATCTACATTCTGATAGACAGCATGGAGACAGCAAAGGAAATGTGGGATGAGGTGAAGAAGTTAATGATTGGAACTGATCTTGGTTTGAAGACAAAGAAAGCGAACATCTTGACCGCCTATGATGCTTTTAAAGCCCTACCTGGTGAGGCGCTCCATGAGACGTATAACAGATTCGTACAACTGATCAATGAGATGAGGAAGATCAAAGTTGTCAAATCTAATATGGAAATGAACATACGTTTCTTGTCGAGCCTGCCGCTAGAATGGAGAAGAACTGTTAAGAATCTACGACAGCACCTAGACTTGGATGAACTTGACCTCTGCACTGTCCATGAACATCTACAGCAGTTTGTTAATGACACTGCTGAGATGGAAGGAAGCTTCTCCGCTAATCCTTTAGCACTAATGATTGAAGCTAAATCAAAGAGTTCATCTAAGGGTCCGAAGAAGAAGAAGGCAGTCAAGATAGAGTCAGAAGAAGAAGAGAGTGAAGAAGAAATGGATGTTGAATCCGAGCTGGCCGATCTACAGAAGAAGATGGCACTACTTACCAATCAGTTCAACAAAAGGTTTGCCAAGAAAGGAAGCTCATCAAACAAGCTCCGAACCTCCTCAGCCAACTACAAAACAAAAACCAATGATCAAAACTCTTCTAGTAGAGTTGTTGCAACCGAAGACCCCCTCAAATGCTTTAACTGTGGAAAAGCTGGACATGTTATCAAGGACTGTCGCTTACCAAAGAAGAGGGACTTCAACTATTACAAGCAAAAGATGCTGTGGAACAAGCAGAAGATGTTCATGGCCAAGCAAGATGATGATAGTGCTGCAACTCCTACTGAGAATGATCCATGGCAGGAGGAGAGTTCCGATGATGAAGAAGAAGAGAATCTGGCCCTGATGGCGTTTGTAGAAGAAGAAGGAAAAGACAAGGGTGATGCTGCGATCCCCGGAAAAGGTCAAAGTTCAAGCTCAAACACCACTGTAAGTACATCTGAACCTTCTTGCTCCTGTACTTGCAAAGTTCATTCCTCACAAGAAAAGGATAACACCATAAAGGAGTTAAAGGGCAGGTTAGATCATAACTACAAAGTTGCACTTGACACTCTAGATAAGAGTCACTCTCTGAAGTTGCAACTAGAAAATGAGAAAGAAAGAGTTCAGAAACAAAATTTAGAAGCAGAGAAGCTTACACAAAAAATAACTGAACTAACTAAGAAGGTCAGTGACACAGAACTCGAACGAAATGTTGCGAAAGCAGAAAATGATTTTCTACGCAAACAAAGATGTGCTCTTTACACAAAAATCAAAGAATTAGAAGACCTGCTGGTCAAAAGAGGACAAACTGAACAAACAATCTTCTTAAACCAAAACAGGGACACTCGGTTTTATAACTCAAAGGAAGGTCTTGGATTTACTAACCCCAACAATCTGAAAAAGATTGATTGTCTCCAACTTTACAACATAAAGTACATGGGGTTAGGATTGACCAAGTTGATGGCTTTTACCTACGGAAAGGAAACCGCAGAAGAAGAAGAGGTAAAGCGGTCAAATCCTTCAAAAGCCGAAATTCCTTTCAGTTATGATTCCCTGAACGAAAGCTATGAAAACGCTGAACCTGTTTTGTCAACTGATGAGAGTGTGAATCTCTATCCTTCTGAGAAGGAAGTTGTGTCAGAACCTGAACCCCCTTCAACCTCAGGTTCA